AAGCAGTGGTATCAACGCAGAGTACTGTACCCTGTATACCAGATACGGTAGAGGTACGTTCACGCTCAAAAGGCTCAAAAATATGCTTCAGGAATTCTTCACTCATACCAATTCCATTATCCTTGATAACGAACTGATAAGTAGAATATTCAGGCTCGTCAGTAGGAATTTCTGTTACAGTAAAGGTGATAGAACCACCATTAGGAGTATACTTAACAGCATTGTTGAGGCAGTTTACAAGTATCTGTGTAATTCGTAGCTTATCACAGTAAACGTAAGGATTTATAAGGTCGTCTGTATGAGTTGTAAAGGTTAGCTGTTTCTTATCAATATCTGTTTCCAATATATTATTTAATTCGTCAATAAGAGTAGAAAGCATAACCTTTTCTTCTTTTATTGTTACCTTACCACTTTCGATACGGCTCATATCCAGAATATCGTTTATAAGATTGAGCAGATGTGTACTGGAAGAATTTATTTTAGTAAGGTAATCATGTAATTGCTGCTTATCATCCAAACAGTCGGCAGCAAGATTGGTAAAGCCGATAATAGCATTCATTGGGGTACGCATATCGTGAGACATGTTGGAGAGGAAGGTACTCTTGGCTCTGCTTGCGGCTTCGGCACGTTTTAGAGCACGGCGAAGTTCCTTCTGCTGTTCAAGCTCGGCTTTTACCTTATTGTCTACATCAGCAAAACCAAGTATAAAATTATTTTTCTTCTGGTTTATGTCGGCTCTGGCTACAGTTACACGCATATAGTGTTCTTCACCATTAAATCTTGATGTATAAATTTTGGAGACGCGTTCTGAGTCATCCAATAGCTTTTTTATATTGGAAAGCGTGAGGAAAGAACGCATAGCTTCAGCTTCGGATGGGATAATAAAATCATATATATATCGTTCTATAGTTGTGCTGTACGGATATTCATTGCCCTCCACAAGACCATAAAGCATATTGATACTATCTGGAACACGATAGCATATACCTTTGTCAAGCTCGCCATTTACCAGATATACGGTAAAGTAATTACTGGACAATGCTTTTATGATATTGAAATATTTTTCCTGCTCTTTTTCTCTTTCAATGGCAAGCTTTTTCTGTAATTTTTGCTTTTTTATGATGGATAATAGTGTCATAAATACAGCGGTACTTGCAGCAACAGCCAGCAGGATAATACGGATATGTTCATGGACAAAATCATATGCGGTGTATTCATTCTGCAATACATTGTGACTGGCAATAGTATCAGGAATAAAATCTGTATCCAGCAGGGAAGCACCACGGCGCAGCAGCATGAAAAGACCATTTTCACCGTTGTGTACACCGAAGCCAATAGAAATAGGCTTGCCTAGCTGAGTTATCTGCAGGTTATTATAATCTGACTTCGTCTTTAATAATGGTTTAACACCATTATCCAGCATGATGGCCATATCAACTTCGCCTCTTACAACGAGATTCAGACAGTCCGAAGGTGGATCACATTCGATAATCTCAGCAGCGAAATGCTCTTTAGCATAGCTGGCGGCAATCTTTCCTTTTGGTACTGCAATTCGCTTTATAGGTGAGTCATTATTTTTTAGGCGAATGGAGTCAAGGATATAGGTATTGGTATCAGCTACTACACTATAATTATTATTGTCAGCAGCCTCTGCATGATTGTAAAGTGGAAAAGCAACATGTATTTCTTCTCTATCAAGAGCTGCTAATAATTCTGCGTGGTTCTCGTATGTAATAAAATGCAGGTCTATTTTTTGCTGTAAATTTAATGCAGATATTAGACCAGACATTATTTCTTTGAAAGCATCCATTAAATAAAAAGAAGTCTTTTTATCTATGCCACATATAATGCGAGTATGATTATCAAGCCATGCCGTTTCTTCTGGTGTCAGTTCAGTTCTTACAAGAAGCTTTCGGAAGTGAGTGCTAAAATGATTTCCATACCAATTCGGGTCAATGCGACGCAAATTTTCTTGTGCAGTATTAAGCTGCGCTAAAAGGTATTCTCTTCCTGCAGCCAATGCTACATAATATTGGCTAGTGCCGATTTCTGCGACAGGACGACAGCAGTTGTCAGCGAAAAATCTGACCTCCAGTAAAGCATCGACCTTGCCATCAGACAGAGCATCAGCCCGTTCCTTAGAGCTTGCATAGTCAACGATATTACAGGACAAATTATTATCTGCCAACCACTTTATCAGCATGTTTTTTTGTACGGTATTTGGAGTTACGGCGATGGTTTTGCCATTTATAGTAGAAAGTACATTATCAGATGTTATATCAGAGTAATTATTATTAACGTAAAGGCAATATACTTCACGTCCCATTGCCTGGTTTGGAAATAACAGTTGTTGTTCTCTTTCTGGAGTGCGAGAAACATCTACAAGCAAATCTATTTCTCCACGAAGCAGCTGTTGATAAAGTGCAGGGAAATCATCATACACATATTCGTATTTCCAGCCAGTATAATCCCTTAGAACCTGAAGATATTCATAAGCGTAGCCAGACTTATTTTTGAAATTTTCATCATGTGTCATCAAGGGAGAATTGCTGACGAAGAAGCCTGCTTTGATAGGCTTTGAGTCTTGAGCATAGGTAAAGGATGAAGGGAGTATCATCACAAATGCAAAGACTAGCAGCAGGATAAAAGAACATATTTTGTTTAACTCTTTTAAAGTGAACATCGTGCTCATTCCTCCAGAATTAAATTAAAAATTGTAATGCAGTGCCAGGCTTAAGGTATTCAAGCAGCTTTTGCTCCTGTTTGGATAGCTGACCTATGACATTGACACGCTTATCAGCAGGTAAATCCTTTTTCATAATCTGTATCTCACCCTGATAGCGGCCATACATACTGTTGTCGATGGTGATACAGCCAGCTTCACGTACCGCATTATTTTCAGGTGAAATGCTAAGATTATATTTTTTACATAATTCTCTGCTGCCATCTATACGATATACATCAGCGGCATCATCAGGACGGGTGTGATATGGTTGAGCGAGAAGTCTGCATACATCAATATTGTCTGTAAAAAGATTAGGTCGCAGCGAAATCTGATTTGGCTTTATCTTGGAAATAGCTAAAATTTCGTCTGGGGTAGGTAGGCTGTCACCAATAAAAATGTAATCGGCGCCTAATGCTGTAAGGTGTCTTGCTGCAAAATCAACTGAGGAATAGCGGTGTCCTTCTAAGGTAGGTAAGCCTGCCTTGATTGGTGAACGTGGACGGTGATGACTTGCAACGAAGGCACCAACCTTTATACCGTATTCATGAAGAAGTAGTGTTTTTTTCTGTGAAGAAGTTTTCACTGATACCAGTGTTTTCACGAGGATAAAAATTGTGGAGGGCATCAATACACTGGAAATTTGCACTATAGCAATCAAGCTCCTGCAATAAATCAGCAGTAACAGTAGACGCATTAAGCTGGACATTCAGACCGCTAAAGGTTAGCTTGGCTATTTCTTTCGGTGAGAAACCAAAATCAACACGTACAGTTTTAATTCCCATTTTTTGCAGAAGGTAAGGCTCAAAACTGTCCATCCCAAGCAGGGAAAGTGTGTTAGGTGAAATATCGGAGATAACATCCATATCGTATTGAGATATATTATTTAGAGTGTGTGTAACCTCCTTGTGAAAGGTAGCTCGATTAGTTTCAGGAATATGGAACGAGGTAAAAACACGAGTTGCTCCCATAGATGCAGCAGTATGGAGAAGAAGCATATTTTCTTCAAAGGTATTATCAAGTCCGATGTATAATGATATTCCAGCAAACAACGTCAGTCACTCCAATTCTTTGGTATAGGGATTATTTGGCAAAATGTATTAGTCTTCTTCTGGCGGATCGTTGAAGCCCACAAACCATGTGGCGATAAAACCACCGAGGTAAGCAGTGAGAATTCCCAGCAGATAAACAGGAATATTGTTAGTAGTTGCTGCGAGCGGGAGTCCAGAAATTCCCAAGGCGGAGGCACCAACCATAAATGCCGCCTGAACAGCACCACCGCAGGCACCACCGATGCAGGCACAGGCAAAGGGCTTGCCTAGTGGCAGGGTAACACCATAAATAAGAGGTTCACCTACACCCATGATACCAACAGGCAGGGCAGAGGCGATGGTTTTCTTCAGGAAATTATTTTTGGTCTTACAATACACTGCGATAGAAGCACCAACCTGACCTGCGCCTGCCATAGCCAATACTGGCAGGAGAATGGTAACACCAGTGGTAGCGAGAAGGTCAGCATGGATAGGGGTAAGAGCCTGATGTATGCCCATCATTACCATAGGCAGGAAGGTTCCGCCAAGGATAAAGCCAGTAACAGCACCACCTTTACCGATAGATATGGTAGCAGCTGTTCCGATGGTAGTAGAAATGGCACCGCCGATAGGCTGTAATACGAAAAGTGCAGCAAAACCAGCAATTAGTATGGTGAGGAGAGGTGTAATAAATAGATCGAACATCTCTGGGATGATCTTATGTAATCTTTTTTCAATCCAGACACCGAGAGCGGCAACCATGATAACTGCGATGATACCACCACGCCCTGGTACAAGCATTTCCTCGCCAAGCATGATAGACGCAAGGGCAGGATGGGTAAGGATAGTAGCCAAGACACCACCAAGTATAGGAGAACCACCAAATTCTTTAGCTGCATTGATACCTACAAATAAATTCAAACCCCAGAAAACAGCATTACCCATGACAGAAAGCATCTTTATGTAGGCATAATCACCCATAGTAGGGTCAAGCTTCAGGATGATGTTCAGTATGCCGGTGATAAGACCACAGGCGATAAAGCCAGGGATAAGAGGTATGAAAATACTAGAAATCTTCTTTAAAAGCAGTTTAAATGGAGTGGCGTTTTTGGCGCGAATCTGCTCATGAAGCTCTTTACCATCACCGATTTTTGGTTTCTTTATAAGCTCATTAAAGATATTTGTAACCTGTGTAGCAGTACCAGGGCCAAGCAAAATCTGTATTTCTAGAGAATTTTCATAGATACCAAGAACGCCATCAATAGCTTTAATCTCTGTAGCATAGCTTCATCATAATTGCGTAAAACGAGCCTTAGACGGGTCATACAGTTTTCCGCAGTGACGACATTGGATGCACCGCCTACGACATTTAAAATATCTATAGCTAACTGATTTTTTTTCATTAGATACTAACCTCGCAAATAGAATCACATTTTTAATGCTTTAGCAATATAGCCATTGGTACTAGCTAGCTTCTGTTCTGCAGCATTGGCGGATATATCAGATAAAATCATGAGAATTGCAGTTTTGGCTTTACCATTGGCTTGTTCCAGTGCGGTAATTGCTTCGTCACGCTGACAGCCAGTAGCTTCCATGACAATACGTCTAGCACGTTCTGCTAATTTTAAATTTGTAGCCTTCACATCAACCATGAGGTTTCCGTATACCTTGCCCAGTTTTATCATAGTTCCAGTAGATAACATGTTCAACACCATTTTCTGAGCAGTACCGGCTTTTAGTCGAGTAGAGCCTGTAATGACTTCAGCACCGGGAGTAACGCAGATGGTAAGTTGAGCTGCTTCTGACATCGGAGAAGCAGGACTGGAAACAACGGCAATAGATGTAGCACCTATAGAGGATGCGAACTGTAATCCACCCACAGTATATGGGGTACGTCCAGAGGCGGCAATACCAACTAAAACGTCAGAAGATGTAAATCCACGCTCTTTTAAATCGGCTACAGCTAATTCAGGAGAATCCTCAGCACCCTCTTTAGCCTTGAAAATCGCATCATAGCCGCCTGCGATAATTCCTTGAACTAAATCATAATCAACACCAAAGGTAGGAGGACACTCTACTGCATCCAAAATTCCCAGACGACCAGAAGTTCCAGCACCCATGTAGAAAAGACGGCCGCCCTTGGAAAGTTTAGTTGTAATCTTATCAATGGCGGAAGCAATATTAGGAAGAGCGTTCTCAACAGCTAAAGCCACCAGTTTATCCTGCTCGTTGATGGTACGAACCATATCTATAGTAGATAACTCATCTATATTAGTTGTAGAAACATTACGCTGCTCTGTTGCAATAGTATCTAAATTAACCATATCTTACACCTCAAAAAATACGTTTTTGTTCTTTTTCTACTATATAATAGAACAGCCGATTTGTCAAACAAAGTTAAAAAGATTTTCAAGAATTTCTGCTCAGTACATGTCAGCCAATCACCTTCACCTGATGGTTTGGTTCTTGGGACATGCTTGAGGGGGAAATTCTAAGAAAATAAAAATTTTCAAGAATTTCTCCCCAAAATGCTTGACAAATGATTTGAAAACGTGTATAGTATTACAAGTCGGCGCAAGACAGCCTATGAAACTTCTTGCAAAAGCCGTTAACATAGATTATCCTTTATGGGGTGTCGGAGCTGTCCATTGGCGGCGATGAGGGCACAGCAAGCAGTAATAAAACTTTAAAAGTTTTGGCTCAGTACATGTCAGCCGATCACCTTCACTTAATGGTATGGTTCTTGGGACATGATTGAGTAAGAAATTCTAAGAAAATAAATTTTCAAGAATTTAAAAAAAGTGCTTGACAAACTTCCTGAGATATGATAATCTGTAATAGCTGACTCGCTGAGAGGTAAACAAACTCGATGAAGCGAGGCCGAGCGAAGATGTTCTCTGAAAACTGAACAATGCAAAAGTTATACATTACTTGTATAATCAAGCCAGATGTTGGTATCACGAAAGTGATAAAAACAAAAATAAGTTTGTGCAAAACAAACTGTAATTCCTTTAATAAAAAAGGTAATTTGAGAGCCATTCAGGTTCTTCAATAAAGTTTATTGGAGAGTTTGATCCTGGCTCAGGACGAACGCTGGCGGCGTGCTTAACACATGCAAGTCGAACGGGATGAAGATAGCTTGCTATTGGAATCTAGTGGCAAACGGGTGAGTAACGCGTAGGCAACCTGCCCATGAGATGGGGACAACATCCCGAAAGGGGTGCTAATACCGAATGACGTTAATTGGTCGCATGACTGATTAACCAAAGGCTGAGCAATCGGTCACTCATGGATGGGCCTGCGTCTGATTAGCTAGTTGGTGAGGTAACGGCCCACCAAGGCGACGATCAGTAGCCGGTCTGAGAGGATGAACGGCCACATTGGGACTGAGACACGGCCCAAACTCCTACGGGAGGCAGCAGTGGGGAATCTTCCGCAATGGGCGCAAGCCTGACGGAGCAACGCCGCGTGAATGAAGAAGGTCTTCGGATCGTAAAGTTCTGTTGAGAGGGACGAGAGATAACTTCAGGAAATGGGAGTTAGAGGACGGTACCTTTCGAGGAAGCCACGGCTAACTACGTGCCAGCAGCCGCGGTAATACGTAGGTGGCGAGCGTTGTCCGGAATTATTGGGCGTAAAGGGAGCGCAGGTGGGAAAGTAAGTCAGTCTTAAAAGTGCGGGGCTCAACCCCGTGATGGGATTGAAACTACTTTTCTTGAGTGCAGGAGAGGAAAGCGGAATTCCTAGTGTAGCGGTGAAATGCGTAGATATTAGGAGGAACACCAGTGGCGAAGGCGGCTTTCTGGACTGTAACTGACACTGAGGCTCGAAAGCGTGGGGAGCGAACAGGATTAGATACCCTGGTAGTCCACGCCGTAAACGATGAATACTAGGTGTAGGAGGTATCGACCCCTTCTGTGCCGGAGTTAACGCAATAAGTATTCCGCCTGGGGAGTACGGCCGCAAGGCTGAAACTCAAAGGAATTGACGGGGGCCCGCACAAGCGGTGGAGTATGTGGTTTAATTCGACGCAACGCGAAGAACCTTACCAGGTCTTGACATTGAATGAAAACTCTAGAGATAGAGTCCTCCCTTCGGGGACATGAAAACAGGTGGTGCATGGCTGTCGTCAGCTCGTGTCGTGAGATGTTGGGTTAAGTCCCGCAACGAGCGCAACCCCTGTCCTGTGTTGCCATCATTAAGTTGGGAACTCACAGGAGACTGCCGCGGACAACGCGGAGGAAGGCGGGGATGACGTCAAGTCATCATGCCCTTATGACCTGGGCTACACACGTACTACAATGGGGCATACAGAGGGCAGCGAAGCCGCGAGGCAGAGCGAATCCCAGAAAATGTCTCCCAGTTCGGATTGCAGGCTGAAACCCGCCTGCATGAAGTCGGAATCGCTAGTAATCGCAGGTCAGCATACTGCGGTGAATACGTTCCCGGGCCTTGTACACACCGCCCGTCACACCACGGAAGTCATTCACACCCGAAGCCGGTGGGCTAACCGCAAGGGAGCAGCCGTCTAAGGTGGGGGCGATGACTGGGGTGAAGTCGTAACAAGGTAGCCGTATCGGAAGGTGCGGCTGGATCACCTCCTTTCTAAGGAGTAGCCGTAAGGTTACATCCAAGGTCGGAGCATGTGGCTGAGCATTGTTTAGTTTTGAGAGAACATGAGAATGTAATCTCAAATGTACCTTGAAAACTACACAGAAACAAGATATTAACAAATCTTCAATTATTCATCGAATAATCGTTAAACAGTGTAAACTGTTATTTGCTAGTAATTTTTTTAGCAGAACGCGAAATGACGAGCGAGCGAGTGAAGTCGTACTTGACTGTACGTCGAGCAAAGCGAGTGAGGAATGACAAAGTTATGCGGAAAAAGGACAGCAAAGAAAGGTTTGAAAGTGATATCTTAGGATAACGATCCAATAAAACCAAAAGCATCATAGACATTGTATGTATATGACCTAATGGCGAAACTAATAAAGTTAAGCTACAAAGGGCATACGGTGGATGCCTTGGCGTCAGTAGCAGAAGAAGGACGCGGTAAGCTGCGATAAGACATGGGGAGCCGCAAGCAGGCATTGATCCATGTATCTCCGAATGGGGCAACCCGGCACGAGTCATGTCGTGTCATCCTTAATGGAGTGTTACCCGGTGAACTGAAACATCTAAGTAGCCGGAGGAAGAGTAATCAAACGAGATTCCCGTAGTAGCGGCGAGCGAACTGGGAAGAGCCCAAACCTGAGGTCTTCGGACTTCAGGGGTTGAGGACCGGCATAAATCGAAGAAAGGCTAGCAGAACGGCATGGGAAGGCCGAGCGCAGAGGGTGAGACTCCCGTAAGCGGAACCTTTTAAGAGGGCTGGAATCCAGAGTACCACGAGGACACGTGAAACCTTGTGGGAAGCAGGGTGGACCACCATCCAAGGCAAAATACTAACTGACGACCGATAGCGCATAGTACCGTGAGGGAAAGGTGAAAAGTACCCCTGGCGGGGAGTGAAATAGAACCTGAAACCGTATGTCTACAAGCAGTCGAAGCTCTTTACATGAGCGACGGCGTGCCTATTGAAGAATGAACCGGCGAGTTATCCAGTGTGGCGAGGTTAAGCGGAAGACGCGGAGCCGAAGCGAAAGCGAGTCTTAATAGGGCGGCGAGTCACACTGGGTAGACCCGAAACCACAGTGATCTATGCATGGCCAGGCTGAAGCTCAGGTAAAAATGAGTGGAGGGCCGAACCCGTGAGTGTTGAAAAACTTTGGGATGAGCTGTGCATAGGGGTGAAATGCCAATCGAACGTGGAGATAGCTGGTTCTCCCCGAAATAGCTTTAGGGCTAGCCTCAGGGAATTAACGCAGACGGTAGAGCTCTGATCGGGCTAGGGGGCGTAAAGCTTACCGACCCCAGTCAAACTGCGAATGGCTGCGTGAGAAGAACCTGGGAGTCAGAGTGCGAGTGATAAGACCCGTACTCAAGAGGGAAACAGCCCAGACCGCCGACTAAGGTCCCCAATGCTGTACTAAGTGGAGAAGGATGTAGGGTTTCTAAAACAACCAGGATGTTGGCTCAGAAGCAGCCACCATTCAAAGAGTGCGTAATAGCTCACTGGTCGAGAGGTCCTGCGCCGAAAATATCCGGGGCTCAAGTACAGAACCGAAGTCGCGGCATGCGCAAGCATGGGTAGGGGAGCGTTCCATCAGGGGTGAAGGTGTACCGGAAGGAGCACTGGACTGGATGGAAGTGAGAATGCTGGTATGAGTAGCGAAAAGGACGGTGAGAATCCGTCCCACCGAAAGCCTAAGGGTTCCTGAGCAACGCTCGTCGTCTCAGGGTAAGTCGGGACCTAAGCCGAGGCAGCAAGCGTAGGCGATGGACAGCAGGCAAATATTCCTGCACCCGGTAAGTTTGTTTGAGCAATGGAGTGACGCAGGAGGAAGCGTGAGCGTACTGATGGAATAGTATGTCTAAGGCTGCAGGCTGCAGGGGAGGCAAATCCCCCCTGTGAGGGCTTAGAGCTGATGGAAAGACGAGTCTTCGGACAAGTTGAATTTGCGTGGACCACACTGCCAAGAAAAGCTTCTAGTTAGAGCTTATCGGCCCGTACCAAAACCGACACAGGTAGGCGGGGAGAGTATCCTAAGGTGCGCGGGAAAACCCTCGTTAAGGAACTCGGCAAAATACATCCGTAACTTCGGGATAAGGATGGCCGGAGCTGGTGAAGGATGCACATCTGGAGCTGGAGCCGGCGGCAGAAGAGAGGCCCAAGCGACTGTTTACCATAAACACAGGTGCCTGCTAAAGAGAAATCTGACGTATAGGTGCTGACACCTGCCCGGTGCTGGAAGGTTAAGAGGAGGGGTCAGGCGCAAGCTGAAGCTCTGAATTGAAGCCCCAGTAAACGGCGGCCGTAACTATAACGGTCCTAAGGTAGCGAAATTCCTTGTCGGGTAAGTTCCGACCCGCACGAAAGGTGTAACGATTTGGGCACTGTCTCAACGAGGGACCCGGTGAAATTGAAATACCTGTGAAGATGCAGGTTACCCGCGACTGGACAGAAAGACCCCATGGAGCTTTACTGCAGCTTGTCATTGATTCTTGGCATGTAATGTACAGGATAGGTGGGAGACGTGGAAGTGAGGACGCAAGTCTTCATGGAGTCACCCTTGGGATACCACCCTTTGCATGCTAGGGATCTAACCGTAGGAGTAACGACCCTCGGAACAGTGGCAGGCGGACAGTTTGACTGGGGCGGTCGCCTCCGAAAGAGTAACGGAGGCGTCCAAAGGTTCCCTCAGAGCGGACAGAAACCGCT